CGGCGCCGCAGAGGCCGCGGGCAGCTTCGCAACCCAGCGCTCAACCGCTGCGCCACCAGGGAGGCCCTCTCTTGCCTGTTCTAAGTCCACTACCCTCAAGTGTCTGATCGTAGGTGTGAAAGTCAGCGGTGACCTGGACTTTGTACTCTCTCTCTGCTTCACCTGCTTTGGTATGGTCAGATGCCTGCACCTAATCCAGTTGCTTCACCCACTAATTGACCTTTCTAGTAAATCTCAATGATTGGACATTTGCTTTTCCTACATTTTTTGGCTCAGTGCCCCAGATCCAACCAAGGCTTTGGTACGTGAAGTCAGGTACTTTCCTGGCCCTCTTGTGTGCTAATGGCTGCTTTTCCTTTTCCCAGAGTAGGCCCTCTTACCCATTCACTCTGCCCTTCCTATTGTCTGCAGGGAAGTTAGCCTCTCCAGAGCTGCCAGGGGTGACCTATTCCTCAGGCTGCCTGTGCGCTCCTGCTGACAGCAGCACTAGGGTTTATCTATTGCTCTCAGGAAGGGACTAGTCGGTGTTTCACATCTCTGTAGACTGTTCCCTTGACCAGCTGATACTCTTAACTGACACAGGCTGTGCAGAATTTCTTCAGCCTTTACTACATTCACTTTCTATTATGTCAAAGTATGACTGCCAATTAATAATCTGAGAATCTAAAGGTTCTTTAACCCCTCTTAGGAAAAGACTAAGTCGCTCAGTTAACTAACAGCATCTTTTGGATGAAAATGTCTGAAAGGAATAGGAGCTTGGGCCCTGGCTTCTGAGCGCATCCAGGGCCGCTGAATTACTCTCTGGTTCTGTAAGGACCTCATCAGTCTAGTCCTTCCAGAAACCTGTCCTGCAGGGAAAATAGTCTCTCCCTGCTCAGTAAATAGAATCATCTTAGGAGTCCCAGGAGACTGTGAGGGACTTACTTGTCCTGCCAAATACTTGCCGTCTGTAAGACTTTACACCTTTTTCTCTTAGTTCTGTCATGATTAGAGTCTCCAAACTGAAAGGAATTCCACATAGTCTCACAGATGTTCTGAAAATAGCAGGGCCTATTTTTAAATCAGAGCCCTTCAAAACAAGATACATAAAGGTCTCGGACATATTTCAGATTAAGGATCAGGCTCCAAGAGGTGGGAAGAAGCTAACCTTCAAAAATCTTACATGGGGGGCCTCCCCGGTGGCGCAGCGGTTGAGCGCTGGGTTGCGAAGCTGCCCGCAGCCTCTGCAGCGCCGGTTCGATCCCCGGCTGCTCCCCAGCCAGCCACCGGAGGAGGGTCCCACATGGCGCGCAGACCTCTCCTGCCACCCGCTGCTCCCCTCAGCAGTGTACTTCGGTCCTTCTGCCTGCTCTGCTCCCCGCTCTGGCTCTGGTGAATTCTCTCACCCTCCCGTGCTTCTGACTGTACCCAGTGCCTGTACAAACAAACAAACAAATCTTTAAAAAAAAAAAAAATCTTACATGGGCATCTAGAGATTGTCCTAAGAAAACTAGCCTTTGAGAAGCCATCGCCACATTTACTGTTTTGTTCCATCAGCAAAGCTTGAAAAGCCTATTATTGCAGGTCAAACGTTATGTCCTATTGCATTTAGACTTGCTTCATCCTAAGATGAGTTGGAAAGAACTCACTTCTGGGTCACCCACAGTAGCTACCCAAATATTTTCCTGCCTTTTTTTTTAAAGAAGTTTTTCTTTATTGTAAGATTTTTATTTATTTATTCTGCGTAGAAGAACTGGGGTCTAAGCCAGAGGTGCAGGGGTGAGAGGATTCACCAGAGTGAGGAGCAGAACAGGCAGACTGACTGAAATACACTGCTGAGGGGAGCAGGGGGCGAAACAGGAGAGGTCTGCTGTGCTGTGTGGGTAGCTCCCTGCCTGGGAATGGAACTCAGGTCATTGTGGTGGTAGCACTGAGACTTAACAACTAGGCTACCATGGAGACTCCACATTCTCCTGCTTTTTAGTGAAGAAAAAATTCTATTCTGATCCTTCCTTCTCATATTTTGATAGTTCTAGGACTGGTTCTGATGGAGTTTTGTGAAGTTGCGGGTCCTTGGGTTCACTCTGGGAAACGTTTCACCAGAGCTCCCATTTCATTGGCACGCGGCGAGTTCCCCAGGCATGTTTCTTCATGAGACAGAGATGTTAGTCATATTTAAAGAAGAGGTTTATTAGGGAAAGGGAAAGGGACAGAGAGGGCTGCATGGTTGCAGGCGGGCGGCCTTGAAGTGAGTGACCTCTGCTAAGGGAGGTCAGTGAAGTCCCAGCAGGTACATACAGGTTATGGGCAGGCAGGAAGCTGCTGCCCTGCAGAGGGAGAGAGTTGGTGAAAAGAAGCACCTGCATAGTCACAGGTGGGCAGTGGGAGTGCTGCCCTGAGCCTGTGCAGAGACTGCACTGATATAGTCCTTTTCTCTTTGGGAGAGGTCACTCCTCTGTGGAGTAACCTGCTTGTTGCTGACGTTGGGAAACAGCAAAACTAAAAAGGGACCAGAGATTCCAGGGTGCGCCCAATCTCCATATCTTTACCCTCAGGCCTATGCTCCACTCCCTATAGCATCTGATCCTGCTGGGGTCTCATGCCTTGTGATAAGGCCCTGGTGCCGGAGGGTCACAACCTCTACAGCTGGGTTAATGGTCATGTTATTGCCCTCGACCCCCACTTCCTTGAGTGAGTCAGGTTTTAGTCTTGTGAGGCCTCCTTTCCTGTTTTTCTATTCTTGTCCCACATCAGTTCCCTCATTTGACCACCTGGATTATAAACATGGAAATAGAGGTCAAGTAATTTAAGGATTTATGGTAGACTTGGGATTTGAATTCAGGAACTGAGTTCAAGACCACTGCCTTTTCCAGTAACCCTTGTGCCTCCCAAACACAGACTGGCCTGTGCTGTGTACTTCTGTTAGGGGGAAAAGGATGTCCCAAAGCGGGGTTGCTCTATAACACTTCTAGTTCCATCTCTGTACCCCTGTTAGGGGGAAATGATGTCCTGAGTTAATCCCATACAGGCTTTGTGGACTCCACCCCCACTCCAGACTAAAGCCATCAAGACATTGGGAAGACAAATCCCATCACCACCAAAGGGAGGGTGGCTGGGACCTGAGGGTGGAGTTGGGCAGCCAGGTTGGATATAAAAACCAAACACGTGGGCCTTGGGGGCTCCCTGGCTCGTGATCGCTCGCCTCCTGGCTTCACCACTCCTGGCTGGCGGCCAACTCTGAGAACGCCATTTTGGGATTCCTGATCGGTGGATTGGGTAGGACTCATTTAAAACTTTGTCTCCCACTTTTCTCCCAGAGCTGTACATTTCCTCATTTCCCCTTCCTTGTAAATAAACCTTTTATTAACCTTTCGTGTGTGCCTGCAGTAGAGCATTGATAAGTCCTTTTAGCGCGCGGGTGAGGACCCACAGTCAGGCACCCCGTTTTGTATTGGGGTTGCTCTACAACACCCCTACATCATCACAGATGTCTCTGAGGATTCAAGTTGTTCCCAAAAGCAAAATCTGTTTCATACCACGTCGTTTCTTTTAATTGAAGATGGGATCAAACTAAAATTATATTAGACTAGAGGCAGTCTTTCAAAAGTAAAAAAAGAGAGCCTCCCCGGTGGTGCAGCGGTTGAGCGCTGGGTTGTGAAGCTGCCCGCAGCCTCTGCAGCGCCGGTTCGATCCCCGGCTGCTCCCCGGCCCAGAGGAGGGTCCCACATGGCGCGCAGACCTCTCCTGCCGCCCGCTGCTCCCCTCAGCAGTGTACTTCGGTCCTTCTGCCTGCTCTGCTCCCCGCTCTGGCTCTGGTGAATTCTCTCACCCACCCGCGCTTCTGACTATACCCAGTGCTTGTATAAATAAATAAATAAATAAATCTTAAAAAAAAAAAAAAAGTAAAAAAGAGTAAGTCTCTAATGACCACTTTGGGAGAAGATTTGCTATTTCTCAAATTTAACAGTATCAATATGTTTGGATTTTCAAATGATGTGGGATTCACTGATACCTCCAGGGCGAGAGTTTCAGTGTTGCTCTTGTTTTCCAGAAAAAGAGCTCAGTATAAAATGCAGCTAATAGTGAGTTTTGTGTGAGGTTTTTGCATATTAAAAGTCGTCACTGAGCAACATTAGCTACAGACACTCCTCCCCATAAATCCATGGAGACTCTGTGAAAAGCATTTCAGAGGAATCCAAACCCCAAGTAGTCTTTGGCAAGGGTAATTTGCCATGATGATAGTTAAAATAAGGAGAATACTGAGTAGCTCACTACAAAGAAGCATCTGAAAATGAAACTAGCTGTGGCTCAAATCCCTCAATTCAAAATGTATATAAAATTTCTCACAGTGGCAGCCCAATTGGTCTTTCTTTTTATAAGGCAAATTTGACAATGCATACTAAGAAGCTTAAATCATACCCTTTTAACCTAACAATCCCATTCCTAAGACTTTATCTCAAGGAAATCAAGAGTAAGGAAGACAGAAGGGCGGGTGGTTATGAAGAGATAGGACAGACGGGGAAAAAAAAATTAAGAAAGATTATACATATGTCTGTAGCAGCATTATTAATAATTAGCAGTAAGCTGGAAACAATCTGATTTTCCAAATGTAAAAAACAGCTAAGTACATTTTGGTATCTTCATTGTTTGAGGTACTATGCAGCTATTAAGAATAAGATTACAGTGTACGAACAAGGAAAGTGTGTTCAGTGAAAAGCATAGAATACAGACATGCAAAACACACATGATAAAGAATAGAAGGAACAGAAAGAGATGAAAACAGTTATATGAGCATAGTGAGATTACAAGACTTTAAATATTAAAACTTTCTTTGTGATAGCCATATTCAGCTTTTAGGAAATTTTTATTGCTTTCCAGCTCTAACTATATATAGGGTCATATTTCATATTTATTTTGGGTCATAAGATTATTTTACAAAGGATACATGTGAACATTCTAGCTTAGTGTGAAATATAGAAACCGCTAATCATACATACTAATGTTATTGTTTTGATTTGCAGTGAGGGGAACTTGGCTACAAAGCAAGTTGTGTTCCTTCAGAGACCTGTTATGTGGAACTCAGCTGTTCAAACACCAGAAGTGAGTAAAATTAATGCTTTATAAAATGATGTTTATATCAAAGCATTTGATCCTTAAATTCTTATTTTGAATTCTAAGGCATGAACACAGATGACGAAGGGTGTACTTGATATGAAAAGAGGCTTCTGAACAGCATATACAAGGGAACTATGCCTGCAAACCGAGCAACATGAGACAGTTCTAAGGTGATTAGAAATATCACCCCAAAATATGCTTCTTTGGCATATGGATTATTTTTTTAAAGATTTATTTATTTACGCATACAAATCTGGGGTGCAGGCCAGAGGTGCAGGGGGTGAGAGGATTCACCAGAGACAGAGTGGAGAGCAGAACAGCAGACTGATATATACTGCTGAGGGGCGCAGTGGACGAGGCAGGAGAGGTCTGCTGCACCATGTGGGTTAGCTCCCTGGCTGGGGATGGAACTCGTGCTGCAGTGGCTGTGGACCGCTTCATAGGTTGTGTTTTAACCCCTTTGCGCCACCAGGAGGCCCGTATGGATTATTTAAGCTGAAGACAAATGGAAAAACAGCAGAAACAAGAAATGCTCTACCTTTTCCCTTCCTGATGAAAAGGAGAGCATAAACTCCTCTTTTAAAACTTGACATTAATTTCCATTTATAAAGTTGTCTCCTGTATTGGAAAAGAAGACTCTTAGTCACCAGAAATGACTCTTACCACTGTAAATGGTACTTACTCCAGTCTGCATAATCAAATCTTACTAAAACAAAACCTTCTATCAGTTTACCCACATACTTACTTTCCTACAATTTCTAGAAATACCGTAAAAGCCCAAATTTCTTTTTCCTTTGTCCAGGTCTTCTACACAATGTTTCACCCTTTGTTAAAATGAAAATAAGCTCGCAGGTCTTTAGATTTGTAAAGTCCCCATGTATATCCAAAATAAACCTTTTCTCTCTGTTAATCTTTTTTTTAAAAAAGATTTATTTATTTATGCATTACAAGAGCTGGGTACAGGCCAGATGCGGGGAGTGGGGGGCGAGAGGATTCATCAGAGACAGAGTGGGGAACAGAACAGGCAGACTGACTGAAATACACTGCTGTGGGAGCAGCAGGCAAATCAGGAGAGGTCTGCTGCGCCATGGGGTGCTCCCTGCCCAGCCAGAGATTGAACTTGTGCTGCAGAGGCTTCATCGTGTGGTGCTTAACCCTTGCGCCACCAGGGAGGCCCTCCTGTTAATCTTTTTGACATTTAATTTGCAGCCCAAGATATAAGAAGGTAGAAAAAAGTTTTCCTCCCCAGTGTGTCTAGTCTTATAAGTGAATTAGTCTAATCTTGATCACATCAATGCAATCTTGTCCATCCTGACCTCTGAATCACTTTTTATACTGTCTCCTCAAGTTCTTGTTTTAGCCCTTTGCTGAAGAGCTATGTTTTAAGTCTCAAATAACCTTTTCCACACTGAATGCACAGACAGAATATCATTGAATGAATAGTATGTGTATTAATAAATCATAACTTTCAAAAGGAAATTTGCAAATGGTCCAGAAAATTATTTTAAAGCAATTCTTTTTTTCCTTAAATTAAGAAAATACTGCTTAAAAATAATTAGTTGTCTCACATTAATTTTGGAAAGAGTCTAGCTGATAGTTAAGTTGGGAGAAAGAGGTTAGGAAATGCCTCCACCCGGTCCACGTGGCAGGAGAACTGAGTGATCGAGTACACTGATGGCAGAAAGACTGTATTAGCGCCCATGGCTGAGCAGTGCCCCACACCCAATGAGGATGGCTGATTTCACAAGTTTGTTAAGAAATACTCTATCAAGAAGATGCAAGGATGGATATATATAAAGCATGACTAGGGAATGCTTTCACTCAAGCAAATGGGCTTTCTCCATCCTGCAAGCGGGCAGAGGAAGAACGGGCACTACTGCGTAAGAGCAGCGCCTCTGGTCACCTTACGCTTGCTTCCCTATTACCTGAGGGCAGAAAACTTGCTCAGGTTGCTGTGCACATGAGGGACTTTACTAACCTCAGGTGACACTGACATCACTCAGAACATCCAAAAAGAGCTACAACAACCAAGACCTCAGGTACTGACACCAAAGACTATACCCCCAAGATGTTCTCTCTCATCTGCATGTTTCAGCTTCTATGTGTACACGTCCAGGGGGGCTTCTTGGGGGGGAACTTGGCCACCTCATCAGAAAAGAGTTCTTTTTCCTGGAGTCAGAAGGGCAAACCCAGAGAGAGAATGCTGACTGAATCTGATTGATCAATAGCTCGCCGTCACAGAGGAAGGGGGAGAGGAAAGCTGGCTGGAAAGGCGGTTGTCCACTGTCCCGTCTCCCCTCTCAGCTTGAATGCTTCTGAGCATATGCAGTGAGCAGACCAGGGGTGGTGCCTCTCTGAATGTTTTAAGCCTCTGACTCTTCCAAGTGATACAGGAGCTATGTTTAGGCTTGTAGTAGTTTCTAATCCTGCCCCGGCCCAGGGAAAACAGGAAGAGAAATCCTGATGTCCATTCCACGTTTTATTTTTTTTTTTAAAGATTTATTTATTTATGCATACAAGAACTGGGGTACAGGCCAGAGGTGTGGAGGGTGAGGGATTCACCAGAGACAGAGTGGGGAACAGAACAGGCAGGCTGACGAAATACACTGCTGAGAGGAGCAGCGGGTGAGTCAGAGAGTCTGCTGTGCCTGTGGGGTTGCTCCCTGGCTGGCCTGGGATCGAATTAGTGCTGCAGAGGCTGCCGATAGCTTCATAGTGCTGTGCTTAACCCTTTGCGCCACCAGGGAGACCCCATGCCACGTTTTATTAACATGACTTTTAACCCTTTTCTACTCTGTTCATCGTACGAGTGTCTTAGGACACACAGTGTTTATGATGTTGGTAAATCTGACATCTTTTTTCATTTTGAAGACAGTGAAAAACGAAAGATAGAATGGTTTAGACACCCTAATTCCATGACTTGTCACTGATTCTCATGTATTTGCAATGGGTCAACCCCTTTTAGTAAAGAGAATGGTTCTCAAAAGTTAATATTTTATTTCAAGGTTTGGCATTAAATCAGCATCCAAATCTTGATATAGTTTGCTCCCATTTTATAGTAAAAATATCAGAAGAAACTGATAGGGTACAAGAGCTTGGCAATATAGCCTGGAAAATCTCTCTTTATTGACAGAACAAATATGATATAATGCTAAGTGGAAAAGGAGTCTAGCTGATAGTATCCATCTGTGTATGCATATGCAAATACACATGGTATTTAGAGAAGAAAACACAGTAAAATAGGGCCAAGATCTAATAGTAGTATCTTTGCAAGATGGTTAGAAGAGGTTTTGCTTTATTATTATTGCTATATTTTCTACATTGTGTAATTTTTTAAAAAAATATTTATTGGCCTCCCGGTGGCGCAGCGCGGTTGAGCGCTGGGTTGCCGAAGCTGCCCGCAGCCTCTGCAGTGCCGGTTCGATCCCGGCTGCTCCCGGCCACTGGAGGAGGGTCCCACATGGCACGCAGGCCTCTCCTGCCGCCCGCTGCTCCCCTCAGCCAGTGTGCTTCGGTCCTTCTACCTGCTCTGCTCCCCGCTCTGGCTCTGTGAATTCTCTCACCCTCCCGCGCTTCTGACTGTACCAGTGCTTGTATAAATAAATAAATAAACATAAATAAATAAATCTTTTAAAAAAAAATTATTTATTTATTTATTTATACAAGCACTGGTACAGTCAGAAGCGCGGGAGGGTGAGAGAATTCACCAGAGCCAGAGTGGGGAGCAGAGCAGCCGAAGGACTGAAGTACACTGCTGAGGGGAGCAGCGGGCGGCAGGAGAGGTCTGCGCGCCATGTGGACCCTCTCCGGTGGCCGGGGAGCAGCTGGGGATCGAACCGGCGCTGCAGAGGCTGCGGGCAGCTTCGCAACCAGCGCTCAACCGCTGCACCACCGGGGAGCCCTCGACATTGTGTAATTAAAGAAAAATTACTTGGGAATATAAATCTTCACCACAAATGTATATTTTGCAGATATGGGGAAGACAGAGTGAAAAAAATAAGGTAATGCACTCAGGTTCCAGCTTGAATCTAGTCACTCCCTGATCTCAGACCATCTTGTTCTACTGCTGTAGAGATGAGAGTAAAGTGGGGGTAGAAGAATTCCAAGGACTCATTGGACTTCAGATACTTTTGTGTGTTACCAAAAGCGTGTTTTTTTAAAAAAATTATATTATTCAACAAGAAACTATGAACCAGAGACACTTTTGTGGGGTGGGGGCGGGAGGGGAAGGATTGGGTCAGAATGGGGCGTTTGGCAATTGTATGGGGGAATATAAAAATAAATTTATTATTTAAAAATATATATATTTATTGAGGTAAAATTGATTTTCAGCACTGTATAGGCTTTAGGAATATAGGTTCATACCCATACAAATGTATGTTATATTCCACCATAGTCCCTTGGACCCTCTATATTACACACACCCCCCCCCGCCCCACCGCGCCTTCCATTCTGGTGTCCTGTTCTCCAGTTAGATTCCAAGTGTTTGCTTTGTCTGTTCCTTT